GGCATCTGAGGCAGAGTCTGGAATTGAAGTAGAAGCAGATACAGGAGGGGTAAATGGGGTATTTGAGGTAGAAGTCAGACTCGGGGAGACTAGGGAATATTTGGTAAGGAGATGTTTAAGATTTTGGATTTCCTTGAATAAAGGGGAGTCAAGGGAGTGTCGGACTCAGAATGCTGAGAAAGGGAGGGGAAAGATTGTGGAGAGGGAGTTTGAGGTGGAGAAGGGAGGGAGTCAGGCTGGCCCCTGGACTGGAAGCCAAGGGAGTGTATAGTGATGGGAGGGCAGGGGGAGGATTGGGCTGTGCCTCAGCCTTGGGAGCAGGGGAGGGTTGGGGCTGGGTTCTAATAGGGGACAGATTATCAGCTATGGAAGGATCAAAAGCAGAGGCAGAGGGGTAGGGAGGAGGGAGAGGGGCAGAGGCCCCTGGAGGATCAGGATCTGGTGAGACTGTCTTAGCAAGGAGGCCCTGATGGGAAGAACATGTGACACAGAGGGAGGGATTAGCACGGAGATCAAGAAAGGTGTGGATGTAGGGTAATTCAGACTGCTTGCCATTATGCTGGCAGAAGTTTTCCAAATCTTTTAAAATATTGAGGTTTAAGGTTCCAGTGTTTGGCCAAACAGATTATCTAGTTTGTACTGAGGCAGGAAGTGGTGCACAAGAAGTTTAGGTGTTTCGCCCTGATTGTGCCTGACAGTCCTAGCTGCTTTAAAGATTTAAGAAGACAAGCAAGAGGCTTACCTTGAGACTGTGAGTGCTTGGTTCCCATAGTAATGGATTATGTGCAGAGCAAAGAGGAGATAAAGACCTCAGCAGGCAGGTAGGGGAACAAAGAGGATCTTTTGCCCTGAGGGAACAGAGGCGGGGTCAGGAGTCAGGGCAGGAAAGAGTAGTGTACAAGGAAGAGAGAGAAAGAGACAGGGGAGAGAGCAGGAAGAGAAAGGTTTGGCTTAGGTCATGTAAAAATGAGAATGAGAAGAACCAGGCAACAAAAGAAAAGCGTCCTTTTTTTTGTTGTTGTTGAGGATTCGAGTTAAATTCCTGAAGCCCCAGGGCAGCATCCTGCAGTCACTGGGGAAGGGAAATATGAGTGTGTGTTGTGCATGTCCCTGCCAGTGAAGACAGCATCCTGTATTAAAAGGCAGGGAGGAACTTCCCACATACATGTATGCTTTCGAGTGAGTAAAATGAGCAGGAGAGGTTCTTCAATGTGGTGCACAGCCAGCCAGTAGATGGAGCCAAAGTACAAGGAAAGGAGGTAGTGGACCAGCAAGCCGAGATGGAACAGTAATGGAGAAGGCCTAGATGAAACTCAGAGTAGCCAGTAAACAGAGGGGGGGGTGGGAGAGAGCGAGGAGAGAGAAGGAAGATGAGATGTTAGGGGAAGACAAAAGATGGCAGGAGCAAGGAAGGGAAGGGAGCTGAGTTAGGGAAAAGGATTTGAGTGGTATGGGGAGGCAGGTCCGGCTCCCAGGTGGGTGTGGGCAGGCACTGTTACTGTGCCAAGCAATTCAACAGTCATGGAAACCAGTGCTGTCCAGTGGCCTTGACTGGGTCCGGGAGTGACCGAATTTGATTGGAAAGGAGATGAAAAGAAAAATGGAGGAAAGCCGGAGAGTAGTGAAGGGAAAGGGGAGTGGGGGGGGGGAGAGGAAGTGTACCTTAATGCCGAATCAGTGGTGTTTGCAGTGGCCAATAACGACAAGTGAGTCCGAATGTTTTACATGCGAGGTCCCTCGAAGTAAGAGCCAGGTTTTGGCACCATTTGATAGGTAAAAATTTGGTAGAAAACGAGTGAATGGAGGAGGCGGCAGCAGGACACAGATAAAACTCTCAGCGGGATAGAGCTTTATTTCGCACGGGACACGTTCCCCTTGGGGAAAGGAAAATGTCAGCCCACAGGTTGTGAGCTGGGGCTCATATACGGGAACTTTAAAATCAAGTCGAGGGGGGGAGCAGGAAAAGCAGGGTTTGTAAACTTGGCTCCGTTCCATGTGCCAGCCAGGGATCTGGGTCAGGAGGTGTTTACTTTTTTGTCCTCTAAAGATAAGGGAAAAGCTGCTGTGCTAAACAGCTCCTAAAATCTCTGATTAACAGGCAGAATCTGCTTATCTTGTCTTTGGAGATCAAAGGAAAGGCAGGCTGCTTCTTAGAAGAGTCTGCTTCCCTTGACTTCAAAGGCCAAGGTGCTTATCAGCTCAGTTCCCTTTTTCAGGCTTGAAAACTCTAAAGTCCATAGGTCCCTGTTGGGGAGCAGGGGGAGATGCTGCTGTTTGAAACCCTAATACTGTATATCCTGTGTGCTCCAGTACTAACAGGACAGGCAGAATATGCCTCTGGTGCAACAGTGGCACAACTACTGTTTGAGTACAACAAGCAGCTTTCAGATAGGAATTGCAACCCACTCCACATGAGAAAATCTATGTCTGATATTGTAAGCCAGGAACAAAATTTGTGGCCAGAGTGGTCACAGGCCTCAGTAGGGAAGTAATTGCTATTGTTTTGTTAGGTGGTTGTGATGTGTGTCTCAAGTTGCCTTAACATTTCAGTTCATGACTAACAGATCACTGCTATTGTCAGCTGCAATTCTTCATGGAAGGAAATTTCCTTTCACAATGGATGGTACACCACAAAGATTCACTACCAATGATGAAGACCTTGAGAGAAAGTGAGTAGCAGTCTGTTGTAGTGGCTCAATGTTAGCCATAGATGCACATTTATATCCACACCCATCCAACTCTAATGATCTAAATTTTTTTTTTTTTTTTAAAGAAAGAGCCAGAGGAAGGGGGGACTGTTGTGTAGCAATTTTCTCTAAATTGACACAGTCCCTCTCCAAGGGAGGCAGGAAACTCAAGAAGCAAACACATGTTCTGGAATACTCAAATATACAAGACTCCCGAAGCCACTCTACAAAGTTATAGGAGTAGTAAACAATCATGAAAAGAAGAAATTCACCAACTAACAAAGCTCCAGCCAGTTGTGCACAAATCACTTAGGCTGGATGGGCTTTTTAGTGATCCAGCTGTCTGTGCTTGTCCATGCTCCTGGAAGTAACCCCAGTAAAATCCTCAATTCACTTAACGGGACTTTGGCAGAGTTACATTTTTGTCATTAGTTTCTGATCTCAGATGAGTAGACATTTGCTCAGGTATCCTTATGAAAAAGCTCACTCAACACTGCTGCTCTTGGAAACTGTGACAGCTTGATCCTTGCCCGTTCTTTATATTCTTAGAGGTTTGAGAGTGAGTTCTTATCCATAACTGAAGTGAACACATATAAAACATTAACAACACTTGGATTGTACATTTTTAGGAATTTTCTCCAATGGGTTATTTGACATTGAAAGAACACTGTGGTGTGAAACTACTCTGCCATGCCATATAAGAAATTGACAACTATAGGCATTGTTCACATTCACAGCGTTCTTTGCCACAATTAATTTCCTCTTGTAATTGTGAGGAACTATGAAATGTAAAGGATTCCAGTATGAATTTTTTCATGTAATTTAAGATAAATGTACCATATTTAGGATTTATATTGCTTTCATTCATTGTGTTTTGGTCTAACATGAATTTACACATAAAGGAAGGTAACTATGACATCTAAGGGTTTTACCACCCTGTTTGCATTTGTAAGTTTGCTAAAATATGAATTCTCTCATGTAAAGAAGACTGTGATGTCTAAAGGCTTTTCCACACTTCTATTCACAGGGTTTTGTTACAAACTTCTCATGTCTTTGAACATTACTGTAATATCTGATGTCTTTACCACATTGTTTACATTCATAGGGTTTTTCTCCAGTATGGAATTTTTTTCATGTAACTGAAAATAACTGTGATATCTAAAGGTTTTTCCACATTGTTTATTCATATGGTTATTCTCCAGTGTGAACTTTTCCATGTACATAAATGTGACTGGACTGTCTAAAGGCTTTACCATATTGCTTACATTCATAAGGTTTTTCTCCAGTATGAATTTTTTTTCATGTAACTGAAGATAACTGTGACTTCTAAAGGCTTTACCACATTGTTTACATTCATAAGGTTTTTCTCCAGTATGTCTTCTTTCATGTGACTGAAGACATCTGCAACAGCAAAAGGTTTTACCACATTGTTTACATGCATACGGTTTCTCTCCAGTGTGTGTTTTTCATGACATTCAAGATACTTATTACATATAAAGGCTTTACCACATTGCTTACATTCATATGGTTCTACATTATGAATTTTTTCATATACCTGAAGGTACTTGTGTCGTGTAAAGGCTTTATCACATTCTTTACATGTATAAGTTTTCTCTCCAGTATGCATTTTTCATGGCTTTGAAGATGACTGTGTTTTCTAAAGGCTTCACCACATTGTTTACATGAATAGGGTTTTTCTCTAGTATGCGTTTTTTCATGTCTTTAAAAAAAATTTTTTTTAAATTACATGATTAGAAGCACTTCATTACAGCTTTAACATATTCAGTAACACACTCCAGAGCATGAGTAGATCTCTTTCACAAGTGGCTGCAAGTTTCTAAGTTCACAGTTGAATTAATACAATTATACAATATTGAACTCAGTATAAGCCCTGTAAGACATAAAATTGAATGGGTTTTTAACCTTTAAAAAAGATCTCCATTTCATTTTAGAATATATTGTTCCTTGCAGAAAGACTCATTGTTTTTGCTACTAACACTGAGATGTTGGCACATGGATCTCTAATCTGTATGTATCTGATTGTTACTAGTCATAATTGGTTGCACTTGGATCCTTGGCGCCTGTGTCTTTTAAGACTTGTATTATATATAAAGGTTTTACCACATTGTTTACATTCATATAGAGTCCCTCCAATATGTATTTTCTCATGTTTTTTAAGATCACTATTATATATAAAAGTTTTATCACATTGTTCACAATCATACGGTTTCTCTCCAGTATGTCTTCTTTCATGTAACTGAAGATACCTGTAACAGCTAAAGGCTTTACCACATTTTTTACATGCATAGGATTTCTCTCCAGTGTGTGTTTTTTCATGTCTTCGAAGATACTTACTACCTCTAAAGGCTTTACCACATTGTTCACATGCATATGTTTTTTCTCCAGAATGAAGTTTTTCATGTAATCGAAGAGACCCATTATATTTAAAGGCTTTACCACATTCTTTACATTCATATGGTTTTTCTCTATTATGAACTTTTTCGTGTATCCGAAGGTACTTGTGTCGTGTAAAGACTTTACCACATTCTTTACATGTATAGGTTTTCTCTTCAGTATGCATTTTTTCATGGCTTTGAGGACTGTGATTTCTAAACCTTTTAACACATTGTTTACATGAATAGGGTTTTTCTCTAGTATGTGTTTTTTCATGTCTTTTAAGATGACTATTACATCTAAAGGCTTTACCACATTGTTTACATTCATACGGTTTTTCTCCAGTATGCATTCTTTCATGTAACTGTAAGCTTGTAGAAAATGTAAAGACCTTACCACACTGTTTACATACATAGGGTTTTTCACCACTATGAATTCTTTCATGTCCTCGAAGAGAAATGGAAGAACTCAGCTGTTTCCCACATATATTACACTGATAATGCTTTCTGACAGTTTGAGTTCCTCCAGATGTGTAAAGTGAACTCTCACAAGCAGAGGCCTTTCTATATTCTTCGAATTGGTGGACTGTTTTTGCACTGTGTGTTTCCTGGTCTTCCATCAAACTTTGGAGATCAAAAAGATTGAAACATGTCTTATATTCCAGAGGTCCATTCACAGTGTGAGTTCTCATATGTCTTTGACAGCTTGTGAGAGAATTAGAGTTCTGCAGCTTGTTTCCATACTCCTCATGCTCATGAGATTTATACTGAGAGTAAGAGGTAGGATGGTTATTAAAGGGTGGATGACACATGGAAACCTTCCCATACACATTGCTTTCACATGGTGTTAGGTCACTGTACACTTTCAGGATCATATTGGCATTTGCTAGCCAAGTCAAAGTCTCTCCATCTTGAAGATCTTCTTTATGCTCACAGCATGTCTTGAACATGAAACTTCTGTGAAAATGACAATTATATTAGTAAATGTTGGTTTACTGCTATTTATTACAAACTGTAGGTCACATACTCTTCCAAAAATTAGGTAAAGTATGTCTTCTGCCATAGCTGAATGGTTGGAAAGTAAGTCGATTGATAATTCTACAATGTAATTCCCACAGGGCCATGATAAAAAGAATGACATTTCTTAACATGAGATCCTAATACTGTCTGCATGTGACATGCCCTGCAAACACTGAATAGGATTCTTAAATTGATGTATATGTTACATTTTCTAAGGATTAAAAAAAAAGTTGTGCTTACTGTTTGTTTATTCATAAATGCTCCCATAAAAATACCATTAGTGGGAGGCTGGAGAGCAGGCTCAGCAGTTAAGCACAGTTGCTGCTCTTCCAGAGAACCAGAGTTTGGTTGCCAGCACCCAAGAGAGGTAGCCTACAACCTCTTATAATTCCAGCTCCATTAGCACAACTTCTTCAGACCTCCTTGAACACTGCACACAGGTTTGAAAGACACACACACATGCACGCGCGCGTGCACATGCACGAGTGCAAGAAAATAATAATATAAAGTGAAATCTTTCAAAATTTCTTCAAAGAAACTTTCCTTCTAATATTTTCAAGTTACCTTAGATTTTTTCCAGAACTTTTACAATGGTCTTTAATACTCTCATCTTCACAATTGTTTCCTAAAATGGAGTCAACGAGAATTTTGATGAATTAGAAATTACCGAAAACTTACTTTGTAGCTTTAGCCTCTATGAACCATGCCTGATTTATACACCACATTCTTCCCTTTCAATATTCCAAAGCAGAGAAGAGCATCACCTCCAAGAAATGCTTGTTCCTTAGCAACCTAAGGGAAGAGAGGATGATATTCTTACCTATAAAAGTGAGGTTCCTGCAGGTTTCCAGCATCACATCAATGTAGAGAGTCTTCTGAGAAGGGTTCAGCAAAGCCCATTCTTCCTGAGTGAAGTTCATGACAACATCCTCAAATGTCACAGAATCCTAAACATTCCATAAACTCAGTTGATCATATGCTCAACCAATTCTGTGCTTCCCACACATTTTGTTCCATGACACAGAAGTTTTAATGCAAGTTTTGAGTGCTTCTGAAAGGACAGAGCACTGGAGGGACACTCCTCTCACTACTGCGCACAGGGCACAGGATGTGCTGCTGCTCTGCCCCAATTCTGTTTCTATAGAATGTCTACGTCCTGTCTTAAGAAAGTTTGACCAACTGATGTATAAAACAGAAGGCAATTAGCATGCAAGAGTCTGCATGTCCTTAGCAATTCCTGCTCACAATGTTGAAGTATAGACAGCATGAGGAAATTTAACATTTGGTATAGATGGCATGGGCATGAACATAAATGGTAAATCACCTTGCACAAATGATTTATACAAACTCTATGGCACATTATGAATGGTTCTAATTCTGAAAGTCTATTATTCTATTCAAATTCCACAGAGACAACTATAAAGGATCACTCCCCGTGACCTCAAAGACACACATGTTGTCAAAACTTGTTAAGTGGGGAAAGGAGCCCATTCTGTGTGCTTTCAGAAGAAATAATGTATACACTGCTATAAGTAGTTTATTCAAGCACAATGAAAAATATTATACTTATTTTTATTTTATGTATATGAGTGGATTTCTGCATGTATGTAAGTGCAAATGTGTTGTGTAATGCCTTCAGAGGTCAGAAGAGGGCACTGGATTCCCTAACAATTGTTTGCCACAAAGTGCGTCTTGGAAATAGAACCCAGGTCCTCTGCAATAGCAGCCATTATTCTTTACCACTGAGCCATCTCTTCAGGCCCTCAAGCACAATGTTAACCAAATAACAAATATGACACAGTAGAATTTAAAGATTCTAAAAAAAACTTTAAAATTTTTTAGGTAATGTCAAATGCAAATAAAATATAAAGGTGACACGTGTTTCAGAAAGCCCTCAATGTAGTCAGTCATCTTGACATGTGTATAGTCACGGATGTGACAGAGAATGAGACAGAAGGTTCACATGAGTGCAGGACTTGAAGTCAGCCTATGCAATGCAGGAAAACGTCCTTCTCAGGAAGAAAAGAGGGAGGGAAAAGGACTGGAATGGGGAACGACAGGAAACAGGGTCACCAAAATTCATTATTTCATTTTATATGATTAAGAGAAAATTCATTAACTACCAAACCAGAAAATTTTGTACTGAATAAAAAACTGACTAGGGGGATTGGAGAGATGGCTCAGTGGTTAAGAACACTACTCTTGCAGAAGACCCAGGTTCAAATCCCAGCACCCACATGGCAGTTAATAACTTTCCTTAACTCCAGTTCCACGGGATCCAACAGCCTCTTCTGTCTTCTGAGGGCATTGCATGACACAGGTGCACTTACCCACCAGCAGGCAATACACGCATACACATAAAATAAAAATAAAAATATTTTTTTAAAAAACTGACAAGGATCAGCAAGTGTCAATGTCAAAGAACAATATAGTGATGTTCTGCCTAATACACTTCAAGGACTTCCAAAAAATAAAGACAAAGGACCAAAATTAATCATCACACTTTATGATCAGGTCACAGAGTCCAAGGAGCTGATTCAGTACATAAAGAATTTGTCACACAAAACTAGAACTGAGTTTGATACCTAGAACAAGCAAATAGGTCAAAAGAGAGAAAAGAGAAAAATATTGTTCCACTGAGAAATGTGACGTGCAGGCACTCATATACATACACATTATACACACAATAATTCTTTAAACTTAAAAAGTAATCAGGTCATCAACATTTGTAGCCTGACTCTTAGTGACCTGTGACATAGTATGCACACGTCTTCAAATTAATTCCTAAGATAAGCACTCATATACAAGATAAAATGTTCAACTTCAGTCTTAATGAAATGACATGAACTGCAGCAGTATGCCAGGTAAGGAGACTGATCTGAGAAAAATCAGTTGGCCAGGCCTTCCCCAGAAGACTTCTCCACAAGACCAATGCAAAGCTACTGCCTTTGTGAACATCACCTCCAGATCAGTCCAGCTTTCCATTCAAACACCCAATAGGTGGCTCCAAAATGAAATTGAGTTTCACTTTCATGAGGCAGAAATCCACTGTTCTAAATGGGATGCCAAGGCTTAGAGTTTTGAGAAAAGCTCCTTTCACATAATTGGGAGGTTTGTCACACCTATATCTGCCTATTCATTAGCACTATACATATTTGGGATGACCTATGATGGATCTTGCACACTCCATGCCCTGACCTGGGGGAAGGACTCAAAATTTGTATTAATTTGAACCTCAGACCTTCTCAGGGGCAGACGGTACCATGTCTATTTATACCAGACTATGACACTCAAAAGAAATGATTCTACCAAAGTCTTGTTTGGTAAATGTACTGTAGTTACTTACGGAAGAATGGGTGAGGGGTTATTTACAGGACCATGGCTGACAGAATGACAGCTGTAACTTTGAAAAACACCCTTACCATATCTATCTATCTATCTATCTATCTATCTATCTATCTATCTATCATCTATCATCTATTTGTCTATGTAAAACTGATAAACGTACAACCAAGAAAACAAAAACATTACATTTAGAGGGCCCATAATTAAAATGGATATTAAGAATACCAGGAAGTAGGTATTTATGTCCTTGCTGGGACCAAACACCTGACAAGAAACTTAAAAGGGTGACAGACACTTAAAAGGGTGACAGATGAAGAATATATTCTGTCTTATGTAGTGAAAAGGGACACAGCACACCTGGGTGCGGAAGCATAGCTGTTTACACAGCTCAGCAATCAGAAAGCAGGCCATGAGAGGAACAGAGGAAGATCCATTATATTTAGACCATTGGGATGACACAGTCTCTGGACCTCCTAAAGCAGGCACTCACCTCTCCTGCAGTTTTAGCTCTCTCTGACCATAAATAAACCCTTTCCTTACAGGTTCATCATCAATGCTGTCACTGGGACAGAGTGTAAAGCCCACAAAGACTCCCAGGATAAGCACAGGACCAAGCCCAATTTCAGCTTTTTAGGATCATTTCTTCACATTAACTCAGGGGATGAAATCAATCTTAAATGTTACCTACAAGAAAAAAAGACCACTTGAAGCTGTTTGGACCAGGCATTATCAAGTCAAGTCCAAATCTCTCTAATTACAATCATGGTACAGGGTTCATTTCTATTGAGGGAGAGTGAGAAGGGATGTGGGCAGATAGGGAAAGTCATAGCAGCTTTCTTAAGATGGCAACAGCTTGTTTCCAGAAGACACAGTGGTGGAGAGCAGCAGAAAAGAAGAGCCCACTGGGGGTGGACATCGAAGCAGGACCAATAAGGAGGAAGGGGAAGGGAGGAGCCAGTGACTATATAAGACCCTGGACCCAGTGCCTGGTCAGTGGGCTCCAAGCTCTGGGATCCCTTCCTTTCCAAAAGGGTGCCATTGCTGTCTTCAATAAAGCTTTCTGTAGCTTTTTTTCATGTTTTGGTTTTCTTTCTCTCCCAGAAAGTCAATCCTCTGCCTGTCTCATGAATACACTTACTTATTCCCTTAATGACCACCCCATCTGGTTACATCATGGATTCATCTGGCCTCCTACAAAAGTTCATGAGCACTAATCCTGCGAGCCACTTGGAGATCTCCATCGATTCTCTAATGAGAAGCAGGTGGAATCCACCTTCACAAATCTGCAGACCCTAATGAATAGTCAAGACCCTTTCATCTTTTTGGAATCTATTATATAAATTTAAAATTTATATGTATTTCTTTTATGTGCCCCCCATGTCCTACAGAACACAACAACCTACTTCAGAGAATTCATCCTGTCCCTGATACTTCAGGGAGACCTCAAATTATTCTTGGACTGAGATTAAACTTTCCTAAAAGTTAGAAAGCACATCTTTACTCCAGTTGCAAAGGCTGCCCACCTGCTCTCAGGACAATGCTGACAATATCACTGGACTGTGTACTGGGTCTGGGCAACTTACTGTCTGATTACTACTAAATTCCATTACTCTGTCACTTTTAACCATTCGACATCCTGTTATTCCTGATCCTGCCTGAAACATAATCTGACAACCTTCTCCAAGAGTCTATGATCTCTTCAGACAACAAGTGAACCCTCACGGAATACTGCAGATCTGACTGCTCTTACATCCTAATTGGACTGTCAATGTCTACCTAGCCATTCTATGAAAATTGACTCTAGGACTGGAGAGGTGGGTCAGTGGTTAAGAGCACATGGTATCTTTCAGAGCGACAAGGTTCAATTTGCATCATATACATGGTGGTTAACAACCATCAACTACTCCATTTCCAGGGGATCCAATGTCCTCTTCTGGCCTCCATGGGCATTGTACACACATGGTGCACTTACATACATACCGTGCAAACATTCAGACACATAAAATAAAAATAACGAATTTTTAATGGACCCAATTAACATCCCCAAGTACCATGTCTAATGAACCCCTACCTTGCTATACTTATTGCTCATTTAAAACACTCATGGACAAACATAACCACAAATTCAGCTTCCTCCATCTCGTCACTGTTCAGTTGAAAGCAGTTTGATCAGATGACAGCCATATAAGCCTGACTTCCGTTTGTATTAAAGCCACAAGCCACCAGGAAATGGCTGTTTCTATGGGGACCCATCAATCAGACACATTCACTCTTCTGTTAGTAAGACAAAAGGGAACATCTCTTCCTCTAATGAACACAATTCCAAGACAAACTACAAAGACCACAGGTGGTTTACTTTCACTACACCAGATAAAACACTAAATAAAACCTCAATTTGATGATGAGAAAATGGCTCACTTGTAAAGTGCTCATCACATAATCATAAGGACAAACAACTGGGTTCCATGGACTAAACAAAAGCTGGTCACAGCACACATGCCTCCAGACCTGATTGTGAGGAGGTGGAGACCACAGGATGTCTAGAGCATGCTGGGCTGCTGATCTAAGGAAATTGGTGAACTCCTTGTTCAGTGAGAGAGCC